GTATTATTTTTAGTCTTCTTGCTTTTTCCTTAGAGCTGCAAGTCTTGTTTTCTATAGCCGTTTGTGTGTTTCTGTCAGTTTTTGTTGTTGTTTTGTTTTTATATTTTTGTGTACAGAGGATCAGCGGGGAGAGTTTTTGAGAGAGCTTGATACTATTATTGTTATTAATGGCACAAAAGTTTTGTTACTCTTATAGAAATTCTATAAAACAAATTTTGACTATAGTTAATTAAGCAAAATAATTTATTATTTTTTGTAAAATTTTATAATTTTAATTGTTTTTTATATTATACTGTAATACAAATTAGAAATTACTAATTTCTATAGATAGAAATGTTAATCAGTTCTGCAGTTAAAAAATAAAATTTTAAATTATAAATTTTAATAGATGATTTGCCAGTTATCTGGAGAGCTATGTGATGCAGATTATATAAGATTTATATATAAATTATATATAAAATCTTCAAATAGTAAATGTAAAGATTTTTTAAAGAAATATAAAGAAAACTTTTTTCTTACTAAGTAAATCACTCTTGACCATATAATAAAAATTGTAGCGCTCATTAAGACACATCTAATAGTAGTAAGAACATTAAAATTGGCCTGGTGGTTCTTGAGAAATCTTTAAAAAATGGTTTGCTGACATATAAAATTTCTTTAAAAAAAATTGAAAGAAATTTTATATGTCAGCAAAATGTTTTTTAAGGATTTCTCAAGAACTACCAGGCTAATTTTAACATTCTTATCACTATTAAATGCATTTTGATGACTCTACAACTTTTATTATATGTCTAAAAGTGATTTACTTAGCAAAAAAAATGTTTCTTTATATTTCTTTAAAAAATTTCTACATTTGGCTTAATAGTAAAATTTACTTATAAAATTTGCAGATCCTTTCTAGATAATAGATGGATTGTCTATTAAAAGAGTTTACTAGCTTGTCTTTAATAAATAGTTTTAATTAAATAATAACTATAATTTTTTAAAAAAATTCTATTAAACATCTATAATATATCAACTCTTTCTAATGATCCTCTAGACAACAACAACAGAAAAACTGAACTACAGAAAAATGATATAGGAATATCTAAGACAGATACTTCTCAGTTCTATCTTAGAGTAAAGCAGTTGTCAATGAAGTATAAAGATATAAAACATCAAAGAACAAACATTTTTTAGATAGTTTTTTTGAGGTTAAACTTACCTGTTCCTAGTGGACTTTCTAAGTTATTTGACATCTAAACCAGAAGAGTATTCTGAAAACTGTTTTTACTTTTGTGTATATTGTTGTTGATGAAGTTTAAAAAATATGATATACTGAAGAGCAGATATAACTTGGATGGTTTTTTTTGGATCAAGTTTTTTTCACTAATTTATCGAACAAACTCTCTAAGTTATTTGGCATCCAAACCAGAAGGTTTATTTTAAAAACAAATAGTAATCAAAAGACTCTTACTGAAATAATAGAAGCTTGAAGAATTGCCTATATAACTATAAAACTTACAAAAAAACCTTACATACTCTTATTGTCCTTCTACTTTTTTCGAAGAAAATTTTGTAAAAAAAATATGCAATTTAGCTTATCCCTTCAAAAAATCAACATATTGTTTATTTATCAAATCAGTTGTATTGTTTACTTTTTTACCTATTACAACAAACATGTAAATACATATAGAACTGGATATGTAGATTACGTGTCTCGAATGTGTCAATCTAAATAAACAATAACTTGAAACTTCCAGTTTAAATTTCTAACTTTCCTGACCTCTCTACAGTGCTAATGTTAAAAAAACTATTTTTTTATCTTGTGCAAAGTTTTTTTTTTTACTTTAGATATGCTATGCATATAAATTAGAGTAGAAACTAGTTTAAATAGTAGTATGGAATTTTTATGAAGCCTGATACAAGCTTATAATTGTGATTATCCAGTGCAGGTGAAAAATCCCATATTTAATTTAGTTTTTTTCAGTTTCCCCTTTCCTTCTTCTTTTCTTGTTTATACTTTTTTAATGTTATTCTCTATACCTCTATATTGTTTTAAAAAATTTTTCTTTTTCTTTCACTTCTCTATGAAAAGATGGTATCAGATTGATGGTATCCTATTGTAGAGTGGTGATCAAACAAACCCTTTAGTTAGGGTATTATTTTAATTAATCATATCTCACCAGTATAACAAGTTGCCTATAAGTACTCAGGTAGCCTTTAGTTATATTGCTGTAGCTATAAAATGTCAAAGCTATAAGTTTATTGTTTTAAATCTTCCATATGCTTTTGAATAATATTACTGCACCATATCATTAACTCAAGTAATAAGTGTATTTAATAGTTTCTTTTACACTTCCATGAGATGATGACTTGAATAAACAAAATCACTGGTGCAATTTTGTCTAAGTGAAAAAAAAATTTTCTATTAAAAGAAGCAACAATTTTGTTAGAACCATTTTAAACTGGACTATCCTGGAGACAGGGTTAGAACATTTATCCATTGGGCCCAATGAAGTAGACCTCCATTGACATTGCTCCATTGTTCTATTGAGAATGATTTGTCAATGGAGCCAATGGAGTCCAATAAAATACTATATATATTTTAAATTATAAATTTGTATTATATATTTTATATTTTAATTATAAAATTGCTAATAATTTTTGATCCATTGACCCATTTTGGATGAATTAACTACCAAAATATTCATCTTAGTGAGAGGATTCTAACTAAGTCAAAATCATTAAATCCAATTACAGGATCCCAAGATCGCTCAATTTTGTGTGATTTTATAAGAGTTAAAAACTCTTATTAAAATTACACAACTTTTGAGCAATCTGGGATCCTGTAATTGGATTTTAGCAATTTTGACTTTGCTATAATCCTCTCATTAAGACGAACATTTTGGTAGTTAATTCATCTAAAACGGATCAGTGGATCAAAAGTTATTAGCGATTATATAAATTAGAATATAATTACTATAATAATATAAATATGATTGGTTGGTTCAATGGAGTCAATGGAGCCAATGGAGCCAATGGATACTATTTCATTGGCTCCATAATTTTCCCAATGGACCTTATCCATTGAGAAGGGCGGTAGATAGCGTGTTTTAAAAAAAATCATCTTAAGCATTTTTTATGTTCTCGTAGTACGAAATTTCAGAAATTTAATCATGTGATTCGAAAGTATCGTCAAATCATTCCATATGGAACCCGACGCGACATCAACAATGTCAGAATCAGAATCAACGGAAGTATTAGACAAGCTCAAGTCTAAACAAGAATGGGTTAAACATATGCGACTGAAATTCAGCATTCGACCCGAATTTGAAATTACTTGGAACATCTTACATTCGGATGGTACATTGAATCAAGAGTAAGAATTTTTACACCTTTAATTCCTGGGTAATTATATAATTTTACGATACAAGCGCTGCATTTATAACGTTAATTAGTTACTTTCGACCTCCAAAGGGATCAATACCACAACCGCAACGAAAAGTGACCGAAAACAAACGACGTGGAGACAAGCGTGACTTTTCTAAGTCACACTAGTAATTCTGGTAGGTTCAATAAATACCGTGTCTATACGTACATACGTATATACATATTTTCGACCTACAAAAGTCATGGCTAATGTGCCCAAAAGTACGGATATATTAATAATTTTTTGAATATAATAAATTTAGACCCTACAATTATTGGCAGCGGAGGTTTTAAATTCGAATAGAAAGATTATGATTTAACAGTTGCTCTTAAAAATGGTTTAAAATAGATACCAACATATGCTTAAATAAAGATTTTATTAATACTTGCATTATTTCCCGGTGTAGCTATTACTAAGAGTTTGCTACCATTCCTAATTTTATTAAATTCTATGGGATACATGCAATTTACAAGTTCTGAATTCATATTTTATTAATAAGAACACTTATTACAATTAAAAGATAACAATAAATATTATTACACTACGTATTGCTAAAGAAATAGCACTCGGGCTTTTATTTTTGCATGATAATAATATTCATAATGCCTTGTAAGTATTGAATACTTTACTGGATTTATGGATTTCATATTTATTAATTCACTAATATATTCTCATAATTTAGCATTCAGAGAATATTTTAATTCATCAAATACAACTAAGAATAGCAGACTTTAGACTACCAAAGCAGATAAATGAAATATCTATGACGTCAAACTCAATCGTTCATAGAATACGGATCTAAATGTTTTACAAATCACAGGAAATCTGACGTCTATAGCTTTGGAGTAATCCTCCGGGAAATTTCAAGCGAAAAACCACCATTTCAAACCTTCAAATACAGAGATTCACTCGTTATTCACATGTTCCAAAGAAATAGGGAAGAACATATAAAAGCACACCACCTCAATACTGTATATTAAACTTTAAAATGTTGGAACTATGATCCTGTTAATCGCCCGGAATAAAGACCTCAATACTTTAAAACTCGATGAAGGTTTAAATAAACATATTACGATTAATTAAAATAATGAATCTACTAATAGCTTAAAAAATTATTTAAACTTTATTCCTGCTAATTTTTTAAGCCAAACTATTTTCAAAATTTCCAAAGGAACTAAATACACAAATCACGACATCGTCTCCACTTTATTTATCTGATACAACAAGCTCAAGTCCTTTATCCTAGTCCGATGCAAATACTTTGGCGAAAACTAATAATATCCTTGAAAAGATGAAGCGCATACCGTAAAAGTTCAAATACAAGGTCCCTCAAAATAGTAGACCCGGGCGTAAACCACCAGTGTTGGCACTTGGTATATGTCCATATTTTTTAAAAAATTTGGACTATGTCCAAACCTATATGTCCATGTCCATAAATTACTATGTCCATATTTGTCCATATTATTTTTCATAAGTCCAAATGTCCATATTGCCCAACACTGTAAACCACGGAATCTTTATTAATTAAATGCGGGTTTTTTCAAATAGCCAGAATGCCTATTGTGTGTAAGCACTTTAAATTTTTTTTTCACGTCATAAGCTCTGGGAGAGTACTAGACCCCAGGTCTACTGAAGTTAAAAATTGGTGGAATGTACCAGACTCGGGTCTTGTATATGAACTTTTACGGTAAATGTTTAAGCTCCATAAAGTCGGATCGAAAAAGTTTAGCCGAGCCAACTCAAAGATCGACTCCTGACTAGTTATGCCATAGAATCGTTTCAATGAATTTTTGGGATGTTATATCGATATACGTAACTTTAATTAGTAACGTAACATTAGCGTTAGTTAATATCGTAAATTAAAGAGCGCAACTTTAATCAATAGTGTAACCTTTAATATAACGTAACTTTACCAAAACTAATCATATCGGCTGATTTTGATAAGAAAATCCAATCTTCCCAGTAATGTACCTCATTAGAAATATTAAATTATATATAATTGACGCACCCTAACCTGGGGAGATTGTCCAAATCAGCCGATATGTTGAAACTATAACCAAAACTTAGAGTTCCAATCC